CCCCCCTGGGGACATCCAGCGGCGCGCCCTCCTTCACCCGTGCAACGACCACTTCGTCGCCCTGGCGCATGGCCCCCCTGGCTCCGGAAAGACTAGCACCATCGTAGCGTTGATTGCAGCGTGGATCCCCGCGCTGCGCACTGGCCAGGCAGTCGGCGTCTTCTCCAGCTCTAACACTGCCGCCGACCCCCCCCCCCTGGCCCTCGCTGCCAAAGACAAGGACCTCTTGGGCGACATCCGGCACCCTCGCGCTCACCTGCGGCTCGCTCGGAAGGAAAAGTCGACCGCTATCTCGCCCCGTTCCCCCCGGAGGGCCACTACTTCAGCGCCTGCAACACCCCCCCCGGAGTTCGGAGACAACGCGGCGTTCAACGCAGTCAAAAAGGACGCGGTGCAGCGCGCAGCAGCCATCGACGCGACGCACGAAGCGGCCGCCGACCGAGCTCAGCGGAAACATTACAATCCACATCCCACTCGGGATCAGTGACGAAGCCGGACAAGCCAGCGAGGTGACTGCGGCAATGTCCATCGCGCACGTCATCCGCAGTGGGGGCCGTCTCGCTGTCGTCGGCTACCCGCGGCAGCTTCCCCCCATGGCACTATCCAGGAAGGCTGCTGACCTGGGTCTTCACCCGCCCATCTCCAGCGCCAGCTCGATTCCCTCGGCCATCAACCCGACGACCTAGACAGCGCTAGCATCGCCCTTGCGCACATCTTCCGCGCGCGCCCTTTCCTATCCACGGCGTACTACAACGGTGAGCTGCGCAGCCCTTTGGTGCCGGGCCTTCCGTGGCCTCGCGTGCTGGACCTCGACGTCGGGCGGGCGGACTCCCTCACCCCTGCGCCAGGGATCCGCGTCGACGACCTCGTGAGAGACTGCGACGGGCCCCGCGTTCGCGTCTCCAGCGATTCGGAGGACGCCCATCAGACCCTACTGGTGGACCACGAGCCCCGCGAGCTGACATCCCACCTCGCCGAAGGATACGCCAACATCGCTGAGGCTGCCGCGACCGTCGACCTCGCGCGGGCGCAGCTACCAGAGATGGCCAAAGGCCTCTCCGACAAAGTCATCGCCCCCTACAGGCTGCAGAAGGGGATCCGCAAGGACGGCCGGCCACTCCCCCCTCGCGCCCTGCAAATAGCCATGAGGGGCGACAGATATACCGACGCATATCCGCCCTGACACCCGCCCGCCTTTTGTTCCACTGCCCCCGCGGCGCGCCGCCTCCCCCGGCGTCGCCAGCCGCCGCCGCCGCGACGCCTCTGGCACCCCCACGCCCGCGGAGACCCCCCAGCACAGCCGCTCCCCCGCGGCGTCGATTCAGACCTCTACGTGCACCGACTCGCTTCCCAACCCCCGGGACCCCGGCTACATCCCCGAGACAAGGCCAAGGGTCTGCCTTCAACCAATGGCCTAACGGTTCCAACGGCCTGGACCTGGACTTCCCCGGCATCCGCCAAGTCCCCCAGCAGCGCCTTGCCTCGGGGCTGCTCGCCCTCTCCGCGGTCGACGCCAGCCAGGGTGGTGAAGCCGACCTGGTCATCTTCCTCACCACGCTGTCCAACTCTGACCATGTGGGGCTTCGTGGACAATCCCAACAGAGTCAACGTGGGATTGACGCGGGCGAGGCGGGGCATCGTGATCATCGCCGACGGTCGCATGATGCCCTCCATGGCCGACTCCAAGCTCCGGCTGCTCTCCAACTACGGCCGCCTCGCAGGACTTTGGGCGCGTTTCCTCACCCGCCCTGGCCAGGGTCCAGGCAGCTGCAGCGAGCTACTCACCGACAGCGCCTTCAACTCTGTTGACGACCTGGCCTCCTGGGTCCAGCCGAGCCCTGGTACCCTCGCTGCCATGGGCGCGAACGACGACGGGGCTAGGGCCCCACGATCGTGGATGAAAACGCCCGCCCTCTCGAGCCCCGACGAACCCCCTCTCGTCGTGCGTCGCATTGATCGCACGCGCGCGCGCTCTCAGGAGAACGTGTCTGGCTGCGTCCGAAGCCAGAAGGCCGAGGTGTGGAGCCAGGCGCGCGCTCGTAAATCTCGGAAGAGACCGCCCCGCGTGCACGCGACACGCGCATGCCGATGAAGTTATGTGTGATATACATATGCATGGGTTTAACCATTCGTTTATATATTGTAAATATATCAGTATATAAAACGATCCGGAACAAAAACCGATCCATAACAATAAATGATATAAGAAAAACCGATCGGGCAAAACCGCAAAAATCAGGAGCAGCGTTCTTGGATCAGTAGAACCGATCCTGAGGACCTCTGGGGAACCATCAGCAGGCGCCGGCGGGCGCGGGCCCGCGGCCTTGCGCTGGCGGAGGAGGAACTGGGAAGCAGGGGCGAGCCGAGCCAAGGGGCCACCCGACCCGAGGGGGCAGGGTCGGGGGCGCCCCCTAATTTGCAGCCCCAGATCGGGGGCGGACGTTTCACAAAGCAGACCCCGAGCTGCCCCCCCGAGTGCAGGTTGGGGGCCAAGCAGAACCGCAAGTGCCCGGTCGCAATGTAGATGCTGATGCGGCCAAGCCGGCACCTGAACGCGGGAAAGGTGGGGGGCGCCGCCCAGTGGGCGGTTATCTCCATCGCCTTCCTCTTCATGTTGAGGGCGTCGGAGTGCTTGTCGGGCCCGGGCAACCCCTGGGCGAAGAACCAGGCTCTCTTCGGGAGGGGCGTCCACCCCCTTCGGGATAGCACCGTGTGCCCCTCGTTCGGGGGCCTGGGTGAGGTGGTTGTCTACGTCGAGGGCAGCGAAACCGACCGGTATAACTTCGGCTGCTGCCGCAACCGCTACTGGAAGGGGGAAGACTTCGGCCCCTCGCAGGCTTCGGCGCGGCTGGAGCAGCTGGCTCCGCCGAGGTGGAGTTCGGAGGGGGGCCTCCCCCTGTTCCAGGACGAGGAGGGCAAGCCCGTCGGAAGAAAGGCCATGGCGGATTTTCTCGGGAGGGCAGCCAGAGCGACGGGGGTAGGACCAGCCCACATCGGGAGCCATTCCCACCGCATCGGGGGCGAAACGGCCACGTGCCACGCGGTGCCGCGCCCGGAAAAGCCAGGGCGCATTGGTGGGCGGAAGTCCGGCGCGTTCCACGCGCACCCGTGGGCAGCCCACGAGCCCCAGAGGGGCCTGGCAGAGGCGATGTCAGCTCAGGGCGATCAGCTCGCCGCGGGGAGCTTGACCCAGAGGCGGGGGGAAAGGGAGGCACCGCTGGAAGAAGGGCGCGGTTCGCGGCGAGCTCACCGGGGGAGCGCTAGCAGGGCCACCCCCGCGCGGGCGGGGCCGGGGTCGACGACCTGGGGGCGGGGTGGAGCTCCTGCCCCCCCCCCACTTTGATCTCGCGCTAGATGCCGGGCGGGCGGCCCTCTAGGGGCGGTTACCTGCTAGCCTCGGCTTGATTGTCCGCGGCCACCCCGGCCAGGGCAGGGCCCCCTCTCCACGGGGCCCAGGGCCTCGGGGGGGGCGACCGCGCTGGCGCAGCTGCACCAGAGACGGCTGTTCATTTTCTTTGCAGTTTGCTGGGTGGACTGTGGGGCAGTGACCCACGTTCCTCGGCCGCGGGCGCACGGCCCACGGCCACCCAGGGGGGGCCCCTGCGCCGGCCGCGCGGGGGCGGCGCCTCGGTGCTCCGGCGCGGATGGCGCGGCCGGGGACCAGCGCGCCTTCAAGCGGTGCGGCGGATGGCTGACGGGTTCTCGGGAGGTGTCGCCCACCCGCGGCTGAAGGGCTGCCGGGGGGGCGCACGAGTGGCGGAGAGACGGGGCGGCGCCCGCTTAGGGCGCGGGGGGCGTGGGCCCAGACGGACTCACCCCGAGCGTCCGCCAATGAATGCGCCCGTTCCTCCCGCTGCTCCCCTCTCTGTGTAAAACATCGAGACTGTTTGGGGGAACTTGTCTCAGTTAGGGGGGGTCTTTTTAACGGGGCAACTCCTCTCCTGCCGTTCTCTTGTCTCTTCTCCTCTTCTCCTTCTCTGCAGCCGTTGGCTCAGGCTCCGCGACCTTTTCCTCCCGCCCGCCCTGCAGGAGGCAGGGTGCCCGCGCCCCTCGTGGGGCGTGGGCCCAGACGGACTCATCCCGAGCGTCCGCCAATAAATGCGCGCACTCCTCCCGCTACTCCCCTCCCTACGTAGAGTATCTTGACATGCCCGGATGATTATATACACACATATATAGAGAGAGAGGAAGAGAGAGAGAGAGAGAGAACGAGAGAGAGGGAGAGAAAAAAAAAGGAGAGGAAGAGAGAGAGAGAGAGAGACACACACATATATAGATTTGTCTCTCTCTCTCTCTCTCTTCATGCTTATTTATCCGTTCTCTCTCTCTCTCTCACTCTCTTTCCTTGCGTGTGCTTCTCTCTATATCTCTCTCTCTCTTTTCTCTCTCTCTCTCTCTCTTTCTCTCTCTCTCTCTCGCTCTCTCTCTCTCTCTCTCCAGATCTTCTACTGCGCGTAAGTATAGATACAATCATACTGTGTGGTGCCCATCTATACATTAGCATCGTGGTTTTGTTTCGTATTGGTATCTTCCTCTTTCTCTTTTTCTCTCTCTCTCTCTCTCTTTCTCTCTCTCTCTCTCTCTATCCTTCCCCTGCTCTACAGTCTAGCTGGCCAGCGGCAAGCCCCAAATTCGCAATAGAACAGTGTTTTGCTACTGCCATGTTTCGACCCTCCAGCAGCATGCTTGGGAGTAGGGCGTCACTGAAGTACGGCTTCTGAAGACATGGGCGGCTGCGCAGACTGAAGAGCGGCGATAGTACGTGTAATTGTTTGGGGCAGTGTGGACGGGGGCGGTCGTCGGTGTAATATCGGTCTCTATTCACGCCAGATGGCGTTCCCCAGCTTGCCAGAGCCATCCACGAGGCCGTTGAAGCCTGGCATTAAGAAAAGAACACATCTTAATGGCGGGATCCCGCCCTACGCCTGTAGTGGATAGTTCCGAAGCCTTGTCCAGCACGGGCGTGTAGGGCAGAGGGAACTCGGGCTGACCATTGCGAGGTGGGGCCGACCACCGTCCTGGTGCTTTCGCTGGTGTTCATGGAGCGCACCGCCCGCACCTTTCTACCACACCGTTTTTGGGGGATGGGGCGCAGGCCGAAACTTCAGGAAACGAGAGGGGGGGCGAGGGGGGCGAGGGGGTCAAGAAGGAGGATCATGAGGTATGGGCGCAGGCAAAGCGCAGATACGCATGATGAGCAGCAAGAGGGGGGAGTCAGACAGGGAAACGTTTTCCGGCCTGCTAAGGTCAAATTCCAAGGTCAGAGACGATGTATAAGGTGGATCGAATTGTTTCAATTGGTTGTGAAGGGAGGCAATCGAAAGTAGGGTCGTGGACACACGGCGTAAGCATCGTTGGTTGTGTATTCTTGTGAATGGGGGTAGAAGCGACCGCGGCTAGGGCAAGGAACCGTACCTTTCAAATTTTACTTGAGTGCATACCACAACGCAGCAGATTCGTGGATAAGTATCCCATTGGGTTGATTGCTCCCGTGGGTTATGGTCCCTGCTGTATGTTGTTCCGTGTTTCGGGTGGTAATCCAACCGCAGTTGGTGTTGCCATAGCGTTCCGTGGATCATTGGATTCATCGAAGTTGGTCTTGTTGCGGGTCTGTGTAGGCGTTGAACTGGTCAGTCCCCTCCGGGCTTTGCCACAAGCCGTTGTTGTCAAATTGGCCACAGTGGGGACCAATTGGGCTTTGTATGTATGGGTCGGGCATTTGGACAGTGCTTGTGTGACGACGCCCCCAGAAAGCCAAGGTATCTGGCCCTTGTTTGCGTAATATGTGTCACAGGGTTCAGAGGGGCCGCCGAAATTGATGGATCGGCTCCGCATGATCAACATCAGGGGGAAAATAAGAAATTGCGCCTGCCTATCTCTTGAAAGTGGGAGAGAGAGCTGCCGTAATAGACGATAGTTTTTATTGGTTAATTGTTCGACGGTTGCGTGGGAACCTTCCACGTAGACGTGGGTTTGCCATGACAAGAACGGGGACTGGGAGGTAGGGACACGACAGAACAGACGAGAGGAACGGGGTGGAGGTGGAGGAGGAGGAGAAGTGAGATAAGAGGGTGGACAAGGGCGTCCACGGTGGAGGCAATCGTTTGCTCCCTGCACATCTTGGGCAAGTTTCGCAGCAGCTAGAGCCCAAGAAGAGCTTGCGGTGGAGTGAGGGTCCCTGCGCCTGCCTTGCTGTAGCGATACTGGAAAGTTGGGCATTGCGCAGTCTCGCGTGCGTGGGCGATGATCTTTGCTTGTGGGGGCGTGGGAGGAAACAGAGCGCTAGGCAGCTTGTCGTCTGCCAGTCCTCGCTGTTGGCCTCTCTCCCGCCTCTGGCTTTATCTGCCTGTTCGTCTGTTGGCCGTCTTCTCGTCCGCCTGCCCGCCCGCCCGTCCACGCGCACACTTGTCCGTCCATCCATTTACTGTACGCAGCGACCCGCAATTGTGGACGAGAGTGATGGGGGGGAAAAAATGGAGTGGATGAATTGAGGGAGGGCGAGGCGGGTTCAGGGGCTGGCGCGGCAAGGGCCGTCTAAGCTGGCAAGGGCCCTGCCGCAGGAACGCGGCGCCGAGCCTCTGCGCGAACCTGTGTCCAGAATTGCCCCGGGGAGGCGTTGCCGCTCTTGACCCTCGCGTCGCACTGTTGGACGCACTCGCGCACAGCCTCCGTTCTCGCCGGTGCTTGGTCGTCGGGGATGACTGCCCTTCAGCGCCAGGCGGCGAATTTCGTTTAAATTCCACACGTGGATCGCGTTGCTGACGCTCTCCGAACGCACTGGACAAGAAACACCTGACGTAACCTCGGGGGCCCCACGAACCACACTATGTCCAGACGAAGCGCCGTCTCGACAGCGGTGGCCTGGAACTGCCCCCCCGACCGAATACATATGTGTGAGGGCGTGTGGTTGTGGGGCCTCGACCTTGGCGCTCGCCGCCACGCGAGCGGCCGCTGTGCAGTTCGGGCATTCGTAAAAAAATAAACGCTGGGCAAGAAGAGCGACTCGTCGTTCATTCTTGTGCGCCTCCAATCCCTTCAACGATCATCAGGCTAACCGACTGATGCCTCGCGCGATGCGCTTGGCCCGCGCTTTCGGCGCCATCGTTTGGACAGAGATGGCTACGGACAGGCGTTCCCTCGGGCAGCACGCTATCATACTGCGGATGCCCAGGTTTTTCTGCCAGCGCGCCCCCCCAGCGTGCCCCCCTAGCGTGCCCCCCAGTGTGCCCCCCTAGTGTGCCCCCCAAGCGTGTCCCCGCAGCGTGCCCCCAGCGTGCCCCCCTAGCGTGCTCCCTGGCGTCGCCCCACCCCCCAACTCCAGCCACGCGCGCAGGGATCATGTTAGACCATTCGACCCCCTCATTCTGATTATATTCGTTGTCTATTCTTTACTTCTTTGGCAGCTTACTTCGTCCCGTCCTCATCCAACTACCCCGTTGTCGAGTGATCAACCCTCAAGTCCCAACACACCTGATCTACAGCCTCTGGAATGTTTCTCTGAACGCCAGCACAAGAGCGCGCATGCCGAAGTTCAGTTCGCAAGACCTGTGGATGGGCTGCGTCATGCAATACGTAGTGCGTCAAAAAAAGGTCGCGTTGAAGGTCCGCAGACGCCGCGTGCGTGTGAGGGGCCAACGTTTGCGGCGCAGAGCTTGGAGAGCGGGGCTTGTATAGAAACGAAAACAAACAAACAAACGTATTGCAATACTCACAACCACCATGTGTGTGTGTGTGATGAATCTTCCCTGTGACACCATTAATTTGCAAAGCACCATTGGTTCGGAATGCCCACATCAACCAATCGTGTCAGGGCTTCACCCTGTGATTCGGGTTGTGGTGTATCAACGAGCGTTGACTCTAGCTCTGAGTTTCCAGATAGCAATTGCGGTAATGGGTAATGACGGGGTTGCAGGTGATTTAGTCACGCGCAAGCTACTTCAAAGTATGTATGCTCCAAAAGTGCAATTTTTGTGTATCGCATTTGTTGTCAAACAGGACCAAACAGCATCCACACCATGGCATGTCTCCTTGAAGGAGATATCACCTGGCGTACCTGGCGCATGTCGCGCTCGCATATCTTGGTGAACACCGAACGGTGACGCGGTCGCATCGGGCCCTGCTAATTTCTTGCAAGCCCGTTCAGAGATGTATCCATCCTGGCCACGTTCGCCTCACGTGGATATGATCACACCAGCAAGGCTCAGCGGCCTCGAGCACACACCCGACTAAGGCAGACACCATGGCCATTTAACCTCGGATCCGAACGCTTGCGGCCAATTTTAGGGATCGTTCGCATTGAAATCCTACCACATAAGCAAGCGGCAAACTCACACACTTTGGTCAAACGATTACGTTCAAATGCCAAATGCGCTATGGCGAACCAAGTTCAAAGATCCCCTGCAGGTCACATGTGCGTGTTTCACAGGACACGGGCATGAGCTAACGAGCAACACATCATCAACTCAAGGACAGATTGCGGCTCTTCCGTGGCCCCGTCGTTCCCGTTCTAGTGTACGGGTCATTCGCGTGGACTTCAATTGAGCCTCTCAAGCAACAGCTACGTCCCACACAATGACGGATGGCCAGGGCAATCGTCGAATTTCCGAGACGGCGCATTACGACCGTTCTCCAAAGGCATTCCACCCCAACGACTTGCAACCGCAGCGGCCACTATTCCGGCAGTGATTGTCCTAGGCGATTCCAGCGACCACGATGCATCCAGCTCTCCGCCTACGCACCCCGTCAGAGCTGTCCAACACATGTGAAGACAACAGCGACGAACTCCACGGGACCCACCCGCAGGCGACAGACGACAGTGAACTCTGACATCCGCCAGGGGTCCCGATGATCGGAAGAGCTGGCAAGCATGCGCGGAATCCCAAACATGGAACACACACACACATCTATATACATGTGTATATATATATGCACATATATCAGTATAATTACAACACACACAGATACATACATACACGGTTCGGCCCTTTATGTGGTTGTATTTGTAGGGGGATTCATTGCCATGATCGATGTACATACTTGCACGTTTATGTGGCATTGCATGGCCTCCTGGAGGTAGGCATTGTAAGGGACAACGTGCCGTGAATCGAGGGGGGCATTTTTAGCTGTTCGTGGAGGGTCGGTCTGTCTACGACGGTGCTGTGGATACCCGCTCACATTGCCGAGGGTCTCATCGGTCCAAGTTTTCGGGAAATGCTTGGAGCAAACTCCATCGACCATGCACGGGCACGACGGATTCAGCAGCCCACGCGGGCCACGTATCAGATGCTGATCCACCAGAGCGCACAGTTCTGGCTGTGACATTGGACCAGGCAGTTCGGTGGAGACGAGGCGGTCGATGTGGCTCTGTGAGCGGGGTTTGTCCGATTCTTCCAAAACGAGCAAAATATGCGCACGCGGGAGGCCCATCTTGTGGAACTCGACCACGTAAGTGACTGCCTTGACGTTGCCGAAGACAAGTTCTTTGGCCAGCAGTTTCAGGAGGACCCTCAACTTAGATCTGAAGACGCCGGCCACTAAATCGGAGCGGTTCCGCAGAGGACGGCGTGGCGCTGATGCGGGTGACGCTAACGGCGGCGACGGCGGTGACGCGCGGCAGGACGAGGAGGGGCGGGGCGCTGGCGCGGCTACCCGCACACCGCAGGGCGGGCCCCTGCGGGGTGCGGCGGCTGGCGGCGACGGCGCGGGAGGCGCGGGCTCCGGCATGGACGAGGACCTGCTGGCTGGCGGCTTCCCTTTGCGCGACTCGGCGCCCGCGGCGCCTGGGCGCGCGTCGGCCGACGCTCCTCCGGTGCGGCAGCGGGCGGTGTCTGCGGAGCCAGCTCGCGGAGCTGTCGCCGCCATACCCTCGTCTGCCTCCGATCTCGACGACGAGTTCGCTGACGAGCTCCGCGTCGCGGCCCTCTCGGGGCCTGCCGCTGGTGCTGCCGTGGGCGCGGTGGCGTCTGTGGGCGGGGTGATCGCGGCCTCGGCGGTCAAGTTCGGGCCGCACGGCGACCTCAGGGAGTTCGACGTGCGCGAGCGAGCACGGCGCTTGCTCGAAGGGGGGAAGGCAAGCTCAGCGGCGGCGGACGACCTCATTGAGAGTTGTCGGCGGCGGCAGGCGGCGTCGAGTGGTCCTCCGACGTCCTGGGCTGGGTAGGCCCTTTCTCCTTCCTGGCGGAGGTGCTGCCGCCGCTGCTCCTCCGCGCCGTGGTCTTGGAGGTACTTTCCTCGAGGGTGTGCTTCACGATCCAAAGGGTGCACTGCACGGTCGGGGGTCAAGTTCTGGTCAGGTCCAGCGCTGGCCCCCCGCTGACGCTTGTGGTGCAGCGAGCTTGGGTGGTGGCGCCGACCACCCAGGTATGCGTCTTGGCAGGTCGATGTTAGATAATAAACCGGTTCCTCCTCCTCCTCAGCTCCTCCTCCTCCTCCTCATCCTCCTCCTCAGCTCCTCCTCAGCTCCTCCTCAGCTCCTCCTCCTCCTCCTCCTCCTCCTCCTCCTCCTCCTCCTCATCATCATCATCATCATCATCATCATGTTCCTCCTCTTCCCCCTCCTCCTCCGCTCCCCCTCCTCCTTTTCCTCCTTCTCCTCCTCCTCCTCCTCCCCTCCTCCTCCTCCTCCTCCTCTTCCTCCTACTCCTACTCCGCCTCCTCCTCCTCCTCCTCCTCCTCCTCCTCCTCCTCTTCCTCCTCCTCCTCTCACTCCTCCTCCCCCTGCTCCTTCTCCTCCTCCTGTCCAACCTACATGTCTCACCAGTCGGCACCGCAACGCCGCGCAAGCACCGGGCCACATCGGATGAAGGGAACACTCGGAGGAGGCCTCCTGAGATGGCTTGAAGATGGCCGAAGAGGGCCCCCAAAGGGCTTTCAAGAGGCAAACATCGGCCCATCTATTTTGTAAGACGTACGTCTTCAGCATACTAGCTTCAGCAAGCTCGCTTGCTTCGTCTTCGCAGTGCCCCAGACGCCTCCGAGGCGCCCCAAGACAGCCCAAAAGAGACCCAAGCGGGCCCAAGACGGCCCAAAAGGGACGTCCTGTGGGGCGCACGGAACCCCCAAAGACGGCCCAAGAGGCCTCAAAGCCCGCCCAGGAGGCCCCCAAGACGGCCTAAGGGAGGCCCAAGAGGGCCTCGTTCGAAATCATGTTCCCGGAAGTCTCTCCAGGAATATGATTTCTTGGTTTCCAGGGCGCCCAAGAGGGCCCTGGGACGGCCCCGAAACGGCCCTAAAAGGACACTCAAAATTGCCCTGTGGGCCACAGTTCGTTGATTTGCGCGAGATGTTGTTGGATTTCTTCCGCGCGACGGAGACGGAGAGGGCGAAGGAAAAGGAGGAGGAGGAGGAGGAAGAGGAAGACGAGAAGGAGGAGGAGGAGGAGGAGGAGGCGGGGAGGAGGAGTGGAGGGGAAGAGGGGGAGAGTGGGGAGGAGGCTCGAGGGCGATCGACGATCGGCGACTGCGACAGGCGACGGTGATTGACGACGACGACGACGATCGACGGTCGACGACCGACGACCACGATCGACGACGATGACAACAGTCGACGCCGCCGATCGACGATCGACGGCGACGACGACGACAACGGCCACGCCGACCTGAGCCCAAAATGGCTCGGTGCACGCGGACAGCGTCGCCGCCGTCGCCATGGCCGTCGTCGTCGTCGTTCGCCGATCGGCGGCGTCAACTGCTGCCATCATCGTCGATCGTCGTCGTCGTCGTCCGTCGGTCGCCGTCGACGACCGTCGTCGTCATCGTCAATCACCGTCGCCGATCACCGTCGCCGATCGTCGATCGCCCTCGAGCCCTCCCCCCCCCTCCTCCTGCCCTCCTCCTCCTCCTCCTCCTCCTCCTCCTCCTCCTCGACCGACGACGACGATCGACGACGATGACAGCAGTCGGCGCCGCCGATCGACGATCGACGGCGACGACGACGACTCCGACTCCGACTCCGACTCCGTCTCCTCCTCTGCCTCCTCTTCCTCTTCATCTTCCTCCGGAAATCATATTCCCGGAGAGATCTCCGGGGACAGAATTGCGGAAGATTCGGAAAAGCGTTGTCCTCTCTTGGGGACCAGAATTTAGAGGATTTCTCAAGTGAAATGCTTGGTTTCACGTGCTCAGGTCTTGAGGATGTCTCGAACGAGACGCTTGGTTTCACGCCTCCAGGTTGCCCAGGCAGAGGTCAAGCGCCAGGATTTGTTGAGGATGTCTCGAGCGAGACGCTTGGTTTCACGCGTCCTCGTCGCCCAGGCGGATGTCTAGAATGAGGAGGTGTTGAGGAAGTCTCGATCGAGATGCTTGTTTGCACGTGTCCAGGTTGCCCAGGCGGATGCGTAGCATGAGGATGTGTTGAGAATGTCTCGAGAGATACGCTTGTTTTCACGTGTCCAGGTCGCCCAGGCGGATGTCTAACATGAAGATGTGTTGAGGATGTCTCGAGCGAGAGGTTTGCTTTCACGTGTACAGGTCGCCAAGGGGGATGTCTAGAATGAGGAGGTGTTGAAAAAGTCTCGAGCGAAACGCTTGTTTTTCACGTGCCCAGGTCACCCATGCGGACGTCTCACATGAAGATGTGTTGAGGATGTCTCGAGCGAACTACTTGTTTTCACGTGTCCAGTTCGCCCAGGCGGATGTCTAGCATGAGAATGTGTTGAGGATGTGTTGAGCGAAACGTTTGTTTTCACGTGTCCAGGTCGCCCAGGCGGATGTCTAGCATGAGGATGTTGACAGGATGTCTCGAGCGAAACGCTTGTCCCCAGCACGTTCCGTAGCGCGTCCCCTTGGCACGTCCCGCGGTGCGACCCCATGGCACGTCCCCTGGCACGTCGCCTGGCGCGTCCTTTGGGACGTTTCGCAGCGCGTCCTCCTGGCATGTCTCCCTGTCAATTAGCTCTGGGGCAGCTTCTATGTGTTCAGGCAGCCCGAGCTTAAGATCCAGGTCAGTTCGGTCAGGACTCGGATGCAAAGGAGGACTCGATCCACCACGCTATGGAGCACAACTGCGGCATGGCACATCGCAATTCAGCACGGTGCAGCACAGCACAGTCCTCAGCACGGTACATCAAGATCGATACAATCAGCATTGCACTTGCTTGTCACCCAATCAGGTGTCTTTGGAACCGTTGCCATGCGTTACATGTCTATATTCCTTTCCAGGTTTGTAGGTCGATCATGTGTTTCAGAATTTGTTGAGGATGTCTCGAGCGAAACGCTTGGTGTGTGTTATATGTTGTCCTCTCCTGGGGACCTGAATTCTGAGGATCTCTCAAGTGGATTGCTTGTTTTCACGTGCCCAGGTCTTGAGGATGTCTCGAGCGAGACGCTTGGTGTCACGCCTCCAGGTGGCTCAGGCAGATGCCTAGCATGGAGATTTGGTGAGGATGTCTCGAACCAGAGGCTTGATTTCACGTGTCCAGGTCGTCCAGGCGGATGTCTAGCATGAGGATGTGCCGAGGAAGTCTCGATCGAGACGCTTGTTTGCATGTGTCCATGTTGCCCAGGCGGATGCGTAGCATGAGGATGTGTTGAGAACGTCTCGAGGGATATTCTTGTTTTCACGTGTCCAGGTCGCCCAGGCGGATGTCTAACATGAAGATGTGTTGAGGATGTCTCGAGCGAGACGTTTGCTTTCACGTGTACAGGTCGCCCAGGCGGATGTCTAGAATGAGGAGGTGTTGAACACGTCTCGAGCGAAACGCTTGTTTTTCACGTGCCCAGGTCACCCATGCGGACGTCTCACATGAAGATGTGGTGAGGATGTCTCGAGCGAACCACTTGTTTTCACGTGTCCAGTTCGCCCAGGTGGATGTCTAGCATGCGCATGTGTTGAGGATGATGTCTAGCATGAGAATGTGTTGAGGATGTGTGGAGCGAAACGCTTCTTTTCACGTGTCCAGGTCGCTCAGGCGGATGTCTAGCATGAGGATGCTGACAGGATGTCTCGAGCGAACCGCTTGTCCCCAGCACGTTTCGTAGCGCGTTCCCTTGGCACGTCCCGCGGTGCGACCCCATGGCACGTCCCCTGGCACGTCGCCTGGCGCGTCCTTTGGGACGTTTCGCGGCGCGTCCTCCTGGCATGTCTCCCTCGCAATTAGCTCTGGGGCAGCTACTATGTGTTCAGGCAGCTCGAGCTTAAGATCCAGATCAGTTCGGTCAGGGCTCGGATGCAAAGGAGGTCTCGATCCACAACGCTATAGAGCACAATCGCGGAATTGCACATCGCAATTCAGCACGGCGCAGCACAGCACAGACCTCGGCACGGTACATCAAGATCGATACATTCAGCATTGCAACCTGGCACGTTCCTTGGCACGTTCCGTGGGGCGTCCCTTGGCGAGTCCCCCTGGCACGTCGCGTGGCGCGTCCCCTGGCACATCCCGTGGCACATCCATTGGCACGTTCCGTAGCGCGTTCCCTTGGCACGTCCCGCGGTGCGACCCCATGGCACGTCCCCTGGCACGTCGCCTGGCGCGTCCTTTGGGACGTTTCGCGGCGCGTCCTCCTGGCATGTCCCCCTGTCAATTTGCCCTGGGGCAGCTACGATGTGTTCAGGCAACTCGAGCTTAAGATCCAGATCAGTTCGGTCAGGGCTCGGATGCAAAGGAGGACTCGATCCACAACGCTATAGAGCACAATCGCGGCATGGCACATCGCAATTCAGCACGGCGCAGCACAGCACAGACCTCGGCAGGGTACATCAAGATCGATACACTCAGCATTCCATTTGCCCGTCACCCAATCAGTTGTCTTTGAAAACGCTGCCATGCGTTACATCTCTTCATTCCTTTCCGGGTTCGTGGGTCGATCATGTTTTGTCACCCGTTTGCGTTCACCCTTGTCAATGGGTTCGTGATCGGCTTCTCCAGCATTTCTGTTTAATTTGCCATGCTCTCCTTTCTTCTTGCGATTTGGGATATTGTGGTGTTTAGTTCTTTACCGGTGTGTCAGCTATTTCAGCTATCTGCCCATCGCGAGGGGAACGCTCGCGCCGCACCCGTCGGTGCATGGAAGAGTGAGGCGTAGCCGAGTTGTTCGATTCATCGGGTTCTCTGCTTGCTGCCTGTTCTCCCTCCATCTTTTCTCTGTGGTGATGCATATGTCACTCTGCTCCTGGATGCGGTTCAGTAGTGAACCTTCGCTGTTATCAGACCACCAGAGTCGATGCAATGTCTGCTGGATTCTGCGTTCTGTGCACACGGCACCCTGACGGTCCGTGATTCGTTGTATGGTACGCCCGCTGAGAGGGATGTCCACAATGTGAGTGTCCCACGTGGGTGCGGCAGAAGTTGTAAAAGACAGCGTCGGCAAGACTCAGTGATCACGTCACCAACAGTGCGCAATGTTAAGCATTGTCTTGAGCCATCGCGTCTGCGTGTTAGGTGCCGCGCGCAGCTCATCTAAGGCATCGCCCAAGGGATTCAGCTCAAGAGAGTAACATAAGTATGCAGATTCAGAGGTCTGGGACAACCGCCATCTAGTAACGTCCACAGGCAATCATCTGGTATAAACAGATACTGGGTGCAATGCAGTTTTGGGAGAGAGCCGATCGATGGTGGTATAGAGTCCCTGATGGAATCTGGTTTCTTGACCAGGTCCAGAAAGGGGTCCGATGTTGGTGCCCAAGCCTCCGTTTCTGTCTTTCCTTTCCCCTCCCCCCGACGGCATGCAATTTCGGGCGGGGTCCCACAGAGGAGCACAGCTCCATACGGGATTCTCAAGAAGGACCTCTGCTCTGGGGGAGCCCCTGCAGGAGGCTGAGCAGAGGTCCTCGAGGAAATCCGCTCTGGAATGGACCCCCCGGGGCGCTCCCAATCGTTGGAGTAATGGTTGGCCGTGGTCCCTCTGGGATTGGGCTGGGATGTCGGCTGGTTCGGCGCAGAGCAGGGGGACCTTTCTTGACGGTCCAACTTCCGGCCCCCGACACAACATGCGCAGAGCTGCAGGGTATGGACCCGTGCGCAGGAGTGAGTGGAGCCCCACCGCAGCCGCGTCGGAGTCGTTGTAGCGAAGTCGCGGAGGCTGCGTTCGGCGAGCTTGCTCCCGACACGTGCAGGCGATGCGGTCCCCGCATCGGTCGCCACTTGCCAAGCCACTCCCAGAGGAGCCGACATTCGAAAACATAGGCGCCGAGGTCGGCAGGTGGGCGGGAAAAAGCCTGGGATACGCCTGGCGATATTGGGGCTCGAACTACCTTTGGGGACGGGGATGCCAGGAGAGGGCGGGATGTGGGGAATGGCAGGGGGGGGTCACTGCCGACCTGAATGTGTTTCCACGCAGCCGCAGCTGCTACTTGGATTCTCTGGGCGCAGCAGCTGGCACTGTCGCGGGCTGCGGACTCTGGACTGGGCGGGAACCCGATCTGGAGTTCTCATGATAGTCTCGTGAGCCCCGATGAGGGGCTCCCATTAGTCGCCCATGCGTCCCGAACGGGCAGAGGTCCTGGTCATTGCCGCGTGCGCTTCCCCATCATTGTTCTGCTTGCCGACTGGCTGCGCATCTGTCGGGAAATGTGCTCAGGGTGTGCACGCTTGTGCGTGGGAAGCGTCGACAGGCCGTTCCAGCGGATAGGTCTCTGTCCTCCCGTCTTCCTTCAGGGCAGCGGGGCTTTTGGACGCGCCCAAATCGTCACGCCTCTTGGATATCGGAGGCGGCAGCAGGCGCGGTGGCCGGACTCACGCAGACCGGCAGGAGAGCCAGCAATGGTTCTCCATCCTCTCCGCATGGGGGCGGGGGAGGATGGGAGGGCGGGGGCGGCGACCTGCGGGAATCGGGGAGGTGGGGTCGCCAGGCGCAGGGGCCGCTTGCGCTGGTGGCCTTCGGCCGCCGCCCGCCTGCGGATGGAGGGCGCGCTGAGCTCCCTGCGCGCGGGCAAGCTGGAGGCCCCCCCTTCCAGCCGACCCCTCGGTATGCTCCTCCTCGTCCTTCTCGTCCTCCTTGCCGCGGGGTCTCTTTCCTGTCCCTTCCCTTCTACCCTCGGTTCCCGTCTCACCCTTGCCCCGCCTCCCTCCTATGGCTTCACTCCAGACCTGAAACCCAGTCATGGCCGAGCCCAGTCTTGAGCGAGCCAGGAGGAGGGATCGCGATCGCATGTTGGTTTGCGAAATCGCTTGTGACAGCGGTTCGAATTATCCGTAAGAGCTTCGCCCCCTGCCGCTGGCCTCCTTCCTATCATAATGGGATATATCAGAGTCGCGTCAGTGCGTCTCGGCGCTGCCTTGGCGCATCTGGGAGCATCTTGCGGGGGCGGATAGGAAACATAAGCGCATATTGAGACGTTGAACGTTGGCGTTATCGAAGACGCCTACGGCGAATCACCGACGCCCCCTGCCCTTGTGGAAGCGCCTATGTGTCCGACAGCTGGGCTAGAGCTTGGCCAAGCTATCGGACCGTGTGTTCCCCGAGTCGGTTTGGGAAGGTTTCGGGGAACGCGGGGGGGGAGAAGGGGAGGAGGAGGAGGAGAATAATCCCTCATCGAAGCCTCTTGAGGCACTCTTGGGCTCGATTGGACCATCTTGGGACCGTCTTGGAGGCCATGTTGGGGCTATCTTGGGCTCTTTGGGGGCCTCTTGAGGGCCTCTTGGGGCCCTTTTGGGGCTTATCGGGGGCTGCCTTGGCCGTCTTATGGCGTTCCTGGCCCGTCTGACGCCGTCGGGAGCCGTCTTGGGGGCCGCTCTGAACCGACTTGGGGCCCTCTTGGGGCGCTTCGGGTCCGTCTTGGAGGCCATCTTGGGCGTCTTGGAGGCCTCTTGGGCCGTCTTGGGGCCCTCTTGGGGCCTTTTGGGGGGCTTCTTCGGCCGTCATGGGGCCATCTTGGAGGCCTCGTGAGCGATTTTGTGGCGATGTTGGGGGGCCTCTTGGGCCGTCTTGAGGTCTTCGGAAGGCCAAAAAGAAGCAAATGCCAAAATCCTTCAAACACGTAAGCGAAACCAATGATTTTGGCCTCTTCGGGCCCTCCTTGAGGACCTCTTGGGGGCGCCTTGGGGGGCTCTTGGGGGCCTCTTGGGCTGTCTTCAACCATCTTGAGGCTATCTTGGGCCGTCTTGAAGGCATCTTGGCCCATCTGGGAGGCATCTTGGGGCCATCCGAGCCGTCTCGGAGGCCATGTTGGCCGTCTTGGAGTTGTCTTGGAGGCTATCTTCGGCCGTTTTCGAGCCATCTGGAGCAGGAAAAACCCTTGGCAACCACCTCTGGGCAATCTTTCCGGGTGGTCGGCGGGACGGGCCGAAGCCCCAGGGGAAGTTCTTTTGGACAAAAACCAAAACCAAAACCGAAAGATCTAGCACGCCAGGCACCTCTGCGATGAGTCGACAGGGGGCGGCGGATCAAAGACGCCTACGGCGAATCACCGCCGCCCCCTGCCCCTTTGGAAGCGCCTCTGTGGCCGACAACTGGGACAGAGCTTGGCCGAGCTATCGGGCCAGTTGTTCCCCGAGTCGGTTTGGAAAGACTTCGTGGAACGCGTGGGGGAGCAAAAAGTGGAGGAGGGGTCCGACCCGACCCGCCCGTTAGGGTCCGCTCGTTAGGGTCCGCCCGCCCGACCCGACCCGCCCGTTCGAGTCCGCCCGCCCGACCCGACCCGACCCGCCTGTTAGGATCCTCCCGCCCGACCCGACCTGACCCGCCCGTTAGGGTGTTCGTGTGTCAACTCGATCATGTAACACACTGTAATGTCCTGCCCGCCCGACCCGCCCCGCCCGTCAGAGCCCGCCCGCCCGGCCCGACCCGACCCGCCCGGTGGGGTCCGCCCGCCCGACCCGACCCGACCCGCCCGTTAGGGCTCTCGCGTGTGAACTCTATCATGCACCACACTTTGATTTCCCGCCCGCCCGACCCGCCCGGCCGTTAGGGTCGCCCGCCCGACCCGACCCGACCTGCCCGTCGCCGGCGACGTCGTCCTCCTCTTCCTGCTGTTGTTGCCTTTCCCCCTTGCGCCCCCGCGGCGGCGGCGACGACGGCGACGACCGACGGGAGCGGCGACGGCGACGGCGGAGGAGGAGGAAGACGGGGGAGGGAGGAGGAGGGCGGGGAGGAGGCGGAGGAGAGGGAGGGAGGGGGAGCTGGGTCCGTATACTATAGTCTCCGCGCCGGCGTCACCGGCGGCAGCGGCGGAGGAGGTTCCGGGCGAACGGGCTTCCGGGCGAACGGGCTCCGGGCGAACGGGCCTCCGGGCGAACAGGCTCCGGGCCAACGGGCCTCCGGGCCAACGGGCTTCCGGGCGAACGGGCCTCCGGGCGAACGGGCCTCCGGGCGGACGGTTTTCGGGCGAACGGGCTTCTGGGCGAACGGGCGAACGGGCGACAGGCTCCGGGCCAACGGGCGAACGGGCGAACAGGCTCCGGGCCAACGGGCGAACGGGCGAACGGGCTTCCGGGCGAACGGTTTCGTTCCGCCCGATCCGACCCGTCCCGACCCGAACCGTTATGGTTCTCGCGTGTCCATTCGATGGTGCGTCATATACTTTAATGTCTCCCGCCCGCCCGACCCGACCCCCCCGTTAGCGTCCGCCCCACCCAACGCGGGTGCCCTGAAGGGTCGAGTACATGTTTTAAAGGGTTCCGCTGGGTTCTGGAATGCTCTGGATTGCCCGAGAGGGCTCTAGAGGGTTCCCTCGGGCAAACTAATATTTTATAGTGCGCTCGAGTCGGCGCTGGAAAGCTCTGAAGTGTTCAAACAGGGCTCTGGAATGCTCTGGAGGACCCCAAAGTTATCTAGATGGGCTCAAGTGCAGTGCTCTCGGGAGCTTTGAAAGGCACCTCAAGGCTTTCGACAACCTTGAAGGTTCTAGAAAGCTCAGAGAGCTTCTATAACGGTCCAGGCGACCCCAGAGGACTTCTAAAATATTCCCGATGGTATTGGTGGGACCTAGGGGGCATCCGAGTGCGCTCGAGGTCTATAAGTTGAATGATAATGCTTGAAGATTTGCTGCAGGTTTCAGAGTGCTTCAGGATCCAAGTAGAAGGTTATAGGGAATCTCGAGATTGTAGAGCGCAGAAGCATCTAGCAGGATCGAGTGCGCTTGATCGTTCCAAAGGGCATTTCAGCGCTGCCGAAAGCTTTGAGACCCTAGACGGCCCTAGAGAGCTCGTGTACTGGTTTAGGCGTCTCCCGCGGATTTCTAGACTACTCTCGTTTGCTCTAGGCGGATCTAGAGGGCACTCGAGTGTTCACGAGGGCTTCAGGTTCCAGCGTTGAAGATGTGCTGTCCGCTCCAGAAGAATTTAGGATCCAAATCAACGGTTCTTGAGGGATCGACAGGCTCTCGAGTGCCCCCAGGAGCTCCATCTATTGTAAAGGGTTGTAGATAGATTTCGGAGATTCGAGCGCTCTCGATGGTTCTACAGAGCACCGTACTGCTGCCAAAACCCTTGACAGCTCTAGACAGGTTGCAGGGCTTGTGAAATGATCCAAGCTGCCCCAGAGGATCTCTAGATGAGTTTACAGGTTCCTAAGGGGTTTAGCAGTCTCTCGAGTGCTCTCGAGTGCCCTCAGGAGCACTAGAGGTTTGAGAATTTGCTTCAGGGGCGCCAGAAAGATAGAGAGATAGGGAGAGAGAGAGAGCGCGAGATCAAGAGCAATAGCAGCAACTCATGCAGAGAGAGAGAGAGAGAGAGTGAGAGAGAGAGAGCTCACACACACACATCCAGAGAGAGAAAAAGAGAGACGGAGACAGAGGGGTAGACACACACATAGACAAACATAGAGGGGATAACAGGCAGCAAATCGCAAAGCGGAGAAGAGACACACGAATCATGAAATGATGGCGTTTCGGCATTTCCCCTTTTCCGTGCACGGCCGTTTGTAGTTTAGAAGTTGTGTACACCGACTAGTCATTTCTCTCTCCCCGCTCATCCGCCCTTTAAGGGAGTGCTGCGAGCGCCTACCTTCTACGTGGAGACCGAGAGGCAAAGCAGGACAGTAAGCATGCGCCCTGCCTGAGACATGTGCAGAGTAGCAAACAGATGCCAGGATCGGCACATGCCCAGTCATCTGTCACGTCAATGCGTGCGAATGTCAGGCCCGCGCAGATCATGCTGCACGCGGTATTCTCGAATTCAGTCCTCTCCAATGTTCTGAGATTGCTCTTGAGCCAATGATGTTTGTCAGTACCTAATGGCCTTCAGCCGAACCCGCCGAACTGTCTGGGTTGTGGACCGAGGCCTCGTAGATGTTTCTTGGGGTGCGTCTTGGAGGCCTGTTCGGTGCCTGTTGGGAGTCTCCTGGGGGCCTCTTTGGGGCCTCTAGGTGGCCTCTTGGGGCCTCCGGGGGACCTCCTGGCGGTCTCGGAGCCCTTCTTAGGGCGGAGGTCTTCAATTGTCAGTTCATGTTTCCCCCTCCGAGGACGAATGCGTTGACACGTACAACTATGTGTTCGCCAATGTTTCCATCTTCTCGAAAAGTCACGCGTGCCAGCACAGAATGCCCCATATCGCCCGGAATGCTTGGACCTGTGGCCCTCAAGGTGAGTTCACAATCAAAATGCAAACGTCAGTGAGTCAGAGGAATTTGAGTGGCGAATGCTTCGCGTTGGATGGAGCCCAGGCGCCTCATGTTGCTTGGTGTCCAGTGCTGATAAAAACGGCCCTGTTGACAACATGAGCCAGTGTTGAAACTGAGGGCGTCACATTTCGGAGGCTGTTCGCACGTCTGGGGCGATCCATCGCAAGAGAGGAAGACGGTGAGGCTAACTCGCTCAGAGCGATCGGTTTGGGTTTTTGCTTTTGTGCAGTCAGTCTCGCCCTGTCCGTTCTCCTCTGCTGCTCTGCTCGTTCTGCTTCCTCTTCCTCGCTTTCTTGCCTCCCCTCGCTTTGTCTTCGTTGACCCTGCCTTCCTGGCTTTGTGTGTCCCTGATGCCTCCTGCGTGCCGCCCGCTGTCGTCACCGCTTGTTCTCCTTTCTCTAGTGGTGTCTGTGCTCTTGGGGACGTCTCGTGTGACGTTGCCACCTTGCACAGTGAACTTTATTCGCACGTCGTGGATTGAGCGCTGGTTGGATGATGGAAAAACAGGAAGACGATGAGACTTGCGCAGAAGCGCTGCGAAGCAGGAAGAGAAGAAAACACATATGAGTATAGGGCATCATGTATTGAAGAGGGTGGAAAAGGAGAGCAGGAGTGACATGGAGCAGGGGCTGGGAAGTATGAGGAGGGCAGCAAGGCTGCAGGGGGTGGGAACAGACCCGAAGATCGTGTCCGCGCAGGACGGCCGGACAGCATCTTAATTCCCGCTGGCCCGTTGCATGGACCCAGAGGGGAGCACAGGCGGGGAAGGACTTCCCAGCCAGGCTCAGGTTGTTGGTCCTGGTGCCCTTAACATGTGATTTACATTTGCGACAAGGTCGGAGGTTGCATAGGCCTTGACCTCGAAATTTGTTTGTGTGCTTGTGTGTATATGTGTGTGGTCGTAGCACCTGCGTCCACCTTCATGTGTCGGCCGTGGTACCCAGCACCAAAAATGTATTGATCGCAGGCCTCCTCGAAGCTCTTGCCCTTGTTTTGCCGCCCTCCGACGTTGACCTCCACAAGCTCGCCACGCAATTTGCAGCGCGTTATCTTGGATTTTCATCGTCGACCCAGTCGTAGTGTGGTTCTTCGTCGCCTCCATCCTGATCGGTGTAAGCTCTAACTACTCTTGGAGGTCGAATGGCAAACCTACGTCCTAGTTGTCTTCCATCGAGCTCGTCTGGAACTTCAGTGAAAAAGGTTTGTACCGTGCCACAGGCAGCGGCTGCTATCATCAGAGTGCGGGGGCCGCACGTCTTACACTGTCCCTAGATGCGTGACTGAAGTAGGGGTCCGCGGTGAGGAATTCCGTTATTCTTCTTCTTGTCGTTGTCGCCCCCGCGACCCACCTCACGTCATCCTCGTGACCTACCCGCGACCCATTCGCGCCGCGACCCACCCGCGACCCACCCCCGCTTCGACCCGCCCTTGACCCACCCGCGACCCGATCCACCCGTGACCCGCCCGTGACATACACGTGTCCCGAGCTTTGCGACCCACCCCCAGATGTTCTTTTGAACGTTTGTTGTTCATCTTCCCACCTCTTTTGTCGTGTCAGCACGCGTTATTTTCCTCCACCTCATTGCTTATTTTGTCAGTCGTACGAGCGAGGGATCTGTGTTCCTTTCTGCAGACGGGTTGACTCGTCTTGGAACGTAAGTTCCCTGTGAGTTTCTGTTCGGCCTTGCCCTACACAAATACAGCTGATGTTTTGCGTTGCACTTGGCGCAGTACCCTGGCCACGTTCCAGCGAAGAGAGGACAGCCGCCCTGCGGCGCTTGCAGACATTGTGATGAGAGCCAGGGTAGACACGCCCAGCGTGAACATGATACTGCGGGAGTGGAGGGTGCAGAGCGACAGCGGCATTGCATTCAGGTTGCAAGCCAGGCAGATAGTTCGAGAGTATAGTGTTGCAGCGATGTGTACACTTGCTGGTGAATAAGTTTACATGTCTGCTGCGAGCTGGTGCGGCAGAGCGAGAAAGAGAGAGAGAGAGAGGGAGCGAGAGAGAGAGAGAGAGTTGTCGCGTCTGTGTGTTCGTGTCTGTGGAAGTGAGACTGCGAGATGCAGAGTTGCAGGCAAGACAAGGTAGGTGTCTGCAGACTGGCAATCACAAGGGCTGGTGGTGAAAGACGAAGTTGGCGCACGATATCGCGACGCCCAGGCTGACAAGGGCAAGATCGCAACCCACCCTCCCACACAACGTGGGTACATTACATAGTTTGTAGAAGTGATGCCAACCAGCAGTGCGAAGCAGGTAAGAGCCAGTAGGCGCCCAGCGGCATCGGCCCACGGGCCTGCTCTGTTCGCATGTGCCAGGGCCAAATCCATTGTGCAGTGAACTTCGTGGGAAAGAGCGCACAACTTGCTGTGGGAACAGCATCAGCAACGCGTTGGGGGAACACCAAGTGTTTCAGTACATTTGGATGGCTCCTGTGGCACGCTCAAGGCTTGTTCAGGGTCCCATGGGGCCAGCTTGGGCTTGCCGGGGTGCTATTCAGGGGTGGTGGACCTCTTGCGAGCGTGAAGTCGTAATCAGTTTCGTCGAGCCGTCTTCGGATGCCTTGTGGCCGTATTGGGAATGTAAAGAGGGTCCTGATGCCAGCTTGGCGTTGTGCAGAGCCATCTTGAGGCCGTCTTGGGAAGATCGTGGGCCGTCTTGAGCACGGCCAGCCAGGTGCCTGTCCTGAAGCTCTGGGAGGCGCTGAGGAGGTGGCCTAGCCAGGCGGGTTACCGCCCAGAATTTGATGGATCTTTTAAATTTACGCCAGAATTTGGGAAGGCAGTGCGTCTTTGAGCGAAAAGGGGGCGCCTATCAGAGTCCGTTTCGCGGGGATCCTGGTTTCGTGGCGCGTGGTGCAATTGTTATCAACTATGTTTTGCACATGCCGTAGTACAGATCGGGGCGTGCTCATTGTTGCCAGTGACTTACATATTGAATCTGATTTCGTTTCAGCCAGTTTTGCTTTATTCGTACTGCCCGCTACGATGCCGGGTTGCCATGCGAAGTGTATGGAGCGATTGATCCCTCCATGGTGCGAGCTTCCTATTCCAATCAATTTTTGGGTGCTCTTGCTGTCTGAGGAGCTGGTACTAGACGTGATCCACAGGAACAAGATTCTGTGCTTCCATGCGAAGGATTCCGTGCAACAGTGCCACATTGCATTGTGAGTCGTTTTCTCGGATTCGTGATCGCGTGTGTGTGCGTGTGCTTGCGCGTCGGATCTGCCCGTAGCCTTCGCTCAAGCCGTCGGCTCCATACTTGTAGGTCAAGGCGCTGGCTCAGGGTGAGCCAAGCCAGCCTGCGCGCCCACGGCCGAAGGTCGGCCCTGACATGCGGCGCGCCTGCGGAGGGCGAGGAAGGCGCGCCCCGTGCAGTGTATTGTGCCCTCTGCGGGCGGGCGTCTGGCGCTGACTGGCTTGCAGGCGAGGCCAGCGCCGTCGCCGTCGGGGTCTCGTGGTCCGTTCGCCGCCGTCGCCACAGACGGGCGGCTGTTGCTGCCCCCGGCTTTGTCGCAGTTTGCGGCCGCCTCGGCACGCGCCGCCGGCACTGTTCGTGGCCACAGCAAGCTTTGCGCCAGATCTGGCTTCTCTCCTCCGCTCGCTGCCCGTCGCTCGGCTTCCTGCCCCCCCAATGTTTTTCCTCCCCCCTCCTTGTCCAGCTTGTCTCTCCCGCTCCCTTTCCTGGGGCTTTTCCCAGCTCTGTGGCGCTACCGCTCGCACCGTGTCGCATTGGTGACGTGCCTTTTGCGTTCCCGTGAGCCTTGTCGTCCTTTGCTGCTGCTCGCCTTCACCGCGCAATGCATTCGGGGCATATAGATTTACTCTCGGGCTCGTCTGTTTCTGCGCATACAGCGCGTGCGTGCGTGCGTGCGCGCGTGCGTGCGTGCATTCGTGTGTGTGTGTGTGTGGGTTGTGTATTGTGTGTGGTAGTCGGAGGTTGGGGGGTGAGTCCGACGTGAAACGGAGACCCCCCCTACCGGGAAATCGATTTCGGTTTCGGGTTCGTGTCGTGCGTGCCGTGCGTGCGAGCGGGCGCCGCGAAGCTGCGTGGGCGGGCGAGAGGAAATCCTCCTGTGGCTGGGCCGCGGCCGGACCAAATGATTCTTCTCCAGCGGCCGGTGGTTCGCGGTGTCCCGCCAGTGTCCCACTGGTGTCCCGAAATTTTCTTGTGGCTGGGCCGCGGCCGGACCAAATGATTCTCCTCCGGCGGCCGTTGGCGCGTGTCCCGCCGGTGTCCCGCTAGTGTCCCGAAATCCTCCTGTGTCTGGGCCGTGGCCGGGCCAAATGATTCACCTCTGGCGGCTGGTGGCGCGCGGTGTCCCGCCGGTGTCCCGCTGGTGTCCCGAAATCCTCCTGTGGCTGGGCCGCGGCTGGACCAAATGATGCTCCTCCCGTCAAACGGTGGCCCGCGGTGTCCCGCTGGTGTCCCGCCGGTGTCCCGCCGTGGGTTGTGCATATCAAAACATCGCCGCTTGCGGCGAGCTATCCAATGCAAGTCTGCATGCAAACCGACATGCAGACCGAAAAACACACCGAAATGCAAATCGATTGCACATCCAAGTGCAAATCGTAAGGCGCAGTGGGCGCCGCGGCGAGCTTCCCAATGCACGTCGACATTCAAATCGAAGAGCAATTCGAAATGCACATCGATCTGCAAATCCACATGCAAATCCACAGGCATCATCATAACAACAATCACCACTTTTGCCCGTTGCTGTCCCTCCCCAGCCTCCTTATCACCCGCAGGGTTGTCGTATAGGTGTTCAATGAGTTTTTCGGGTCTCACCTCTCACCCTTTCCCCCCTGCGTCCTTAAGTTGCTCGGGGGGTGGGCGGGAATGCAGCGGGCAAACTCAGGAGTGGCGTCGTCTTGTAGAATCGGCTTGCGTGTTGTACACACTTTCTTCGGCTCAAGTTCTTGGGGCTGGGCCGTTGATGCATATCTCGCCTGAGCAACACTACGTTGGCTCGTCGGGTTTCTCCCGAGCGGGCAGCGTGATATCCTTTGCTGGTTCCTCGTGGGAGCTGATGGACTGTGAGAGCGAGGCGCTCCCGTTACACCGTGCAGGGCAGGCGCCGAGTTTGCCGGAGGGCGGAGGTTGGTCCTCGCGACGGCGCGCTGCGGCGGGCCGCTCCTAATGTTCCCGTGGGCGCTGCCCACCGTGGTACGAGACCCGCCCAGCGAGGAGGACCTGCAGGATTTCTCGCCCGAGAAGGTGATGCCCAGGGAAGTAAGGAGTCGCCGCTACCATTTTCAGAGCGCCACCGACGGTGTGGAGATCATGTTGGTTCGACGGAAGTCGGGCAATTCATGGGTGGCCCTGCGACCACGGCGAAGACGACGGTGCTCAGCGACCCGGTGCCAGGGGTCCGTTGGCGACCGATGCCCGCGGTGTCCCAGGTGCAGAGGTCCAGATTGGGGCTCTGGAGCTGTATCGTCCGGGACGTCAGGCTCAGCTTAAATCGGGAATGTCCCTCTACAGGGGGAATATTCAAATTATCCCAGTGCGACCCGACCAAGGAGTTGGAACCCTTAGGAAAGCAGCATTAGTAGTAACAGTAACGCTAAGCTAAAGCTAAGCTAAAGCTAAGCCACAGCTAAGCTAAAGTTAAGTTAAAGCTAAGCTAAAGCTAAGCTAAAGCTAAGCTAAAACTGAGCTAAAGCTGAGCAGCAGCTAAGCTAAAGCTGAGCTACAGCTAAGCTAACGCTAAGCTAAAGCTAAGCTGAAGCTAAGCTAAAGCTAAGCTAAAGCTAAGCTAAAGCTAGGCTAAAGCTAAGCTAGATCTAAGCTAAAGCTGAGCTAAAGCTGAGCTAAAGCTAAGCTACAGCTAAGCTAAAGTTAAGCAAAAGCTAAGCGAAACGCTAAGCTAAAGCTAAGCTACAGCTAAGCTACAGCTAAGCTAAAGCTAAAGCTAAAGCTCCCAGGGGACTGGGGGGAACCGCTCCCAGGGGACTGGGGGAACCGCCCGGGGCGTGTTGCACCGCCCGGCCCCTTTAAGCTAAGAGAGTAAGAACCCTTCTAGGCAGAGCATAGGTAGGGAATAATGGTGTGGGAAGGATGTTTGGAGCATGTTGGTTTTTTATGTACAGCAATGCTTTGCAGTCGTTACACTCCGTGCAGTGCGGTGGCAGGTGGGTTCTCCGATCGTGCTCGTAACCATTTTGGATCACAGAGCGGTTGCAGCGTTGGACATTTTGACACCAACGAAACGCTCGTTCACGAACACACGGCCTCCCATGCGGAGCGGTCATCGCTGGCGCCAGGAAGATGAAACCCTCCCCAGAGGAGCTTGCGGCCGTAAACACTGTTGGACTGGAGTGCATTATCGTCTCGGGGAGGGCCCTTGTCGAAGACGACCCGGTAGTTGCCAAAGTGGCCCTTGACCTCCTCGGCGCTCACGGGCTGAATGGGATCCTTCCAGGTCTGGTTGATGGCCGTCTCGAACTCCGCGCCGCCAGGCTTCCACTGGGGGGCTGCAGAGTGCGAAGACGCTGCCGCCTGCGCCGCCTGCGCCGCCTGCGCCGCAGCCGCTGCAGCCTGGGCGACCGCGAGGGCGTTCGCGACGCTCTTGTCGGCGGCAGCCTGTTGTTGCTGACGCGCTCCATCAGCAGCGCGCAGCAGCTTCACGGCGCCGCGCGCGAGCTGGGCGGCGCGGTGGGCAAGGAGAATCGCACGCTCCTGAATGGGAGGGATAATGACGGTCTCCCTGTCCATGCGGACTGATTGCGCGTGGCTGCTCACGTCCTGCTCCGCCATGGCCCCCAAGAGGCGAACGTGCTCGGCCCCGTCCGCTCCAATCTTCGCTAGGAAGGCCGCGAGAGGGGCGACGATGCTGGCGATCGCAAGGTGAAGCCCCGGTTCGAGATAAACCACCGCGTCGCAGATGGCCTCTTCGCGCACAACCGCCGCGACATCCGGCTGTGCGCGGATCTCCAGAAAAGGGGCTTGCGTTCGAGTCGGCACTGGAGGTCGTTGCGCCAAGGACCTCGGCGCGGCGCACCAGCGCGCAAAATGTTTGGACCAGAGGCATGGGGCATTCCATCCCAAGGAGTGTCAGGCGACGCCCCGCGAGCCTCCCGTTCGCGAGCCTCCAGCGGTCGGGGGCCGCGGCTCTGGCCCTGACAGGGGCCGTGGGCGCGGCCGCCGGCGATCGTCGAGACAGCCGGCGCCAGCGGCGGCGCCGACCCCGCAGGCTACGACGGCGGGCGGGCCGGAGCCAGTTTCGGAGGGCGCTGCCCCAGGGCCGCCGGCGCGGCGCCTCAGAGAGCCCCCAGAGCCCCCGGCAATGCCTGCGCGAGATCATCATCAAGAAGTGGGGCACCTTGCGAAGGTGCTCGCTCTGTTATCGGGGCCAGCCGACGCCCCGACGGGCGCCGAGGTGCACGTGAGGAGGCGGGGCCACGACGCGGACATGTTTGACACTGTCGACGGCGACAGCGCCCACGATATCGGCGAGGACGTCGTGCACGAGGCGCTGGCAGGCCAGACCCACCAGGGCGCGTTCTCGGCCGTCTCCCTGCGGCCCACTCGCGCTACTTTCGGCGACGCTCCGCCTGGGGCGCTCGGCGGCGGAAGGGTTGCCGCGCAGCGGCCGTTGCGCGGGTTGCGAGCCCCCAGAGATCCACTGCCTGCCTGGGCTGCCGCCCAGGGGGAAGGACATCCTGGGGGCCGGCGCGTTGATGGCCATCAGGGTGTTGCGACGTCGCCAAGCTGTGCTCCTCGATCCCTGGCAGTCCCATGGTGTCTGGCGAGCCCAGCCCGCGCCGCGGGGTCGCCATCTTTCTTCGCGCTGCCGGAGGCGGAGGCATTGACGGGCTCGGCCGGCACCGAGGACATCGCGAACAGCGCCCAGATCGGCGTAGCCACCACCTTCCGGGGATCGGCCCGTCCGGCAATCAGATCCCAGACGGCGAGCGCCATGGCAGACTTGAGCAGGCTCGTCGCGGAGGGCATCGATTCGGCGGTGCGCTGCTCTGCCTCTCGGACTTCTTCGAGGCCGCGCGCGATCCCGGGTGTTGGGCCAGAGACCAGATTTTCCCTTGGCGGCGCAACGGCCACCTTCAGCACGCGGTTGCGCGGGGCCCGCGACGACCCGAAGCAGCCGCGCAAGATAGAGGACGACGCGCGCATGGGG